TTGGTGGTTGGTGGTTGGTGGTTGGTGGTTGGTCGTGGTTGGTATTGGCATTGCTATGCTTCATGATACTCTTCCCCAACTTCTGTGGATAGGAACTGGCAGTATTTTTTGTARAACTCAACTTGTCCGACAAGGCATCAGTTGGTGCATCATGCATGCCATAGCCATAACTATCCAAAGCTGTCCATATTTATTGTTCTTGTTRTTGTCTTCTTTTTCATGCCAGACTGACTGATCACAAAAATAACTGAATCTGTGAGTCTTGGGAGGATTTAGTAGATCATTCTCTCACATTTTGGAACAGCCAATCACAAATKTGACTTACAAGTATTTATTTAAGTCTTGGGAGCAATTTGGTTCTCTTAAATCTTGGAATGACCAAACACAAATATGACTGATTTTTTAGTCTGGGGAGCAATTTGGTTCTCTTAAATACTCAAATGACTTCTTAATTGTCACCATAATGACTAATTTTTTGAGTCTTGGGAGCAATTTGGTTCTCGTGAATACTCGAATGACTGATCCTCACAATATTTGGAAACAGTCTTGGAATGTATCACCAACTCCTTTGGGCATTGTTATAATTCTATGATGTATTTGCCTCTTTCTTGTTAGTGCTGGGTCATTTGCTGCAGTAGTTGTGTTTCTGGGGGTGTGGTATTTTGCTGATTCTTGTGCTACTAGTAGTAACAAAATGAAGGCACAGTGCAACAGTAGCACATCATTCTTCTAAAAAAATTTGGGAACAAAATTATACTAGTTGTGTCATTGTCAAAAACATTGATGGGTATATTTTGCACCATATATTCTCTCATCCTTTTGTTGCACTGCTAGCAGTATATTGCCTGGGCATCTGGAAAGCGATCTAGTATGACTGGTATTACCTGCCTAGCATTGGACATACTACCTGCTCCTCTCATCTGGATTSGAAGCAAGAGGGACATCAAACATTCTTTGTTCTTTGGATGACCTGCAGTACATGTACTTTYGTCTAGGCAAATCCAAAACATCTCCTCCTAGGAATCTCAGAAGATACATTGGTTGGCTTGAAACTGTAAAGTCCTCCTGATGCTGCTGGGTAAAATTTTRTGGGCGTCAATTGCTAGTACGACTAGGCACACAAAGTATGGAATTTGGGCTGCAGAGCCCTTCCAAAATTAGTGTACAGGAGAGCACCCTGATTGTCCTCTTGTTCCTCATCGTTCTCCTTGTTGCTTTGTCAAGACTCCCACAGTACCAGTAGTAACAAGCAGCAGGAAGAACCAGAAGAAGACAAGAAAAAAGAATAAAGAACAAGAATAAGGAAACAAGAAAGAATGTCACATGATGTGCTGACAAAACACATTATCATTTGTTAACAATAAACCAAAGACTGAAGAAAATGCCTTGCAAAAAACCAGTGTCATTGCTGCTGATGTTCTTTGTCATGTGTTTATAGTAGTACTAGTAGTAGGTAGAAATGACACAACACCACCAGTGGTGGTGGTGGTGGTGGTGGTGGTTGTTGTTGTCAACAGCTGCTAACTAGTACTACTAGTATTGCTAGCAGTGCTGCTGGTGCTTCTACTACTTCTACTAGTACTAGTAGTAATAGTGGTGGTAGTAGTAGTAGTTATAGTAGTATTAATGATCTTCTTGTAATAAAGTTGCAAATAATGATTGGGGTACACCACCAAGAAAGCTACATTGTCAGCATGGTCATGCTGGGGGTTAAACCATGAACCCACAGAAATTCATGCTCTATTGACAAAAAGCAAACAACCCATGTTTCAGAATAATGAGTTATTTCTCAGAAAAATGACAAACATCTTGCATCCCTAAAATACTGAATGAAGAAGGAGGAGTGTTTTGAGTTTGGGCACGTGAGGATTCCAGTGGTGCACCACAGGTGGTGTTCATTYTGACCAAAAGTGGTGGCATTTCAATGTCAATTTTGGTGTTAATTTTGAGTTACTAGGGATAATACTATAATTTGGTAAGAATCCAGCTGCAGCAATCTGATTGTTGGCTGATACTACTAACAATATGGTGGATTGGTGAGATTTAGTAGTCACCATCATGAGGATGTGGCAAACACGACCAGCAGAAAGAGAAATTTTTGTTTTGACAAACACCAGCAGTTTAATTTAATCATAGAATTTCATTTTGCATGAGTGAAGATAGATCAAAWWWTTTGTTTTCACTAGTYTCAATGAATAGCCTATAAGATTCTTGATAATTCTGATCCACAGTATCTAATTGGGCAATCARATTGCTTGATTCTTACTACCGAGTTATTATTATCCCTACTAGTAACTCTAAATTAACGCCAAAATAGCTCTAAAAATGACACGACGAAAGCTGGGCCTCGATCCTGCTGTGTGAAAAATCAGGCCCTTCCATTTTCGATTTCGAAAAGAAAAAGCCTAAAAAAGTACAGTACTACTTCGTACGCAGAGGTAAACTACCTAGTACGCGTAGTACGGTACGGTCCTGTACTTCGAAAGTATTTTCGCAACAGAACCGAACTGAACCAAGGAGAGCTYACTCCCAGGAAGAACTTCTATTCGTACGTAGTAAAATTTTACGAAGTAGTAGAAGTAGTACCAGGTACCCGCACCCAAAAAGCTCGCTATTTCAGTCCACACAAAACGCGAGGGCACCGAAAGGCGAACAGAATCGTCTTCGTCGGAACTTGTAAGATCGCAAGCAAGCAACGAAAAGCAGGAACCAGCACCGTCCACAAATCACCAGAAGCACTCCAAACCACCCCATGAGAGAACAGGTCGGTGACTTTTACGCCCACCTCGTGGGGGGCACCTCCCCCTCCCAAATCGACCGAGAGCTGACCTCGAGCACGGCGCTCCTGTCCCGGACCGGAAAGCCCACCGTCATTCACTTTTACGACGGCGGGTGAGGCGGGTGCCGCCCCTGTGCGGCACAAATGAAGAAATGGTCYCTGGCGATCCCCACGGTCCAGTTTCTCTGCGTCTGCGTGGAATCCCCCCAGGTAGCCAYCATGTTCCACCACATGTTTGGCTTTGACGCCGCCCCCGATCTAATCAACTGCTATATCCCGTCGAGGCACTACATGCCGGTCGGCTATGGCCAGCTGGGGTGTTCTGGCTTTATTGTGAGCGACGCCGAGGGAAACTTTGTCAGCCGAAAGACCAAGGCCTATCTCCAGTACGGGGAGGACGCCTTTGGGCACGTCGAGCACATGCTGGAGGGACTCGTTCCSGACCTCTATGGAAAGACCGGAACGGRGACGGACGATGCTCCTTCCTCCGTGGTCATGGAGCGGGAGGTCGCAAAKAATGGCGAGAAAAGCCAAAAGGTAAGGATTGTCCCGTGAGAACTTTGYCTCTTTTGCCATGGCTTGACCGACGCTAACACATTTTTCTGGCGTTGGCAGAAGCAAAAGACAGACCCCAATAAAACGATGCAGCCCCCCGAATCCGTCGGTGTGGAGGYCATGGACGAGGAACACAAGATCTGCACCGACTCCTTCAACCGCGCAATGAAGGATCCCACCGTGGACAACCTGGAGGAGCTCCACGACATTCTCAAGTCCCACTTTGACCACGAGGAGGAGCTCATCGAGAAATACTCGTCCTCCAACGGAGGCTTTTCGGCCCTCAAGTCGCACCGGATGGACCACCAGCGGATCCTAGGGATCGCCACGGCGGAGCTCTCGCGGGTGGCGGCGTCCGSATCCGCATCGGATTGCGGCACCTGTTCYCTGCAGCAGGGAGGCAGGAAGGAATGACACGAACCGGCGGCGGCACCCACTGGGGCGCCATCGCCGGCCACCAACAAGATTGACGCAGGYGTGATCTACAAGCTCGCCGACGCCTTTCATGCCCACGCCGATCAGTTYGATTCTCTCTACCAGGCCCAGATTCCCGCGGATGCGGAATAAAGATATCAATAAGCGAGTTGCTAGTGTGCTGTGTTTGAAACAACGAAATTGAAACCTGTTGAATGACGCAAGACGGAACACTATTGCCTTGTTTCCATCCTGCTGAAAATACGTTTGGTATCATTTCAACTAACACGCCAGTATGTAGTGCAATTGCTCTCCGTAGTCAAGAATTCAATAGAATAGATAATGAAWAAATGTAAACCCTAGTGACTACTGAAGAGCTTTATCCAAAGTAGACGAAACTTGATATGGCAGTGGCATTACTTGCCGTTCAACCGCCCGATCCCAACGACGATCTTGTTCGCTGCTTTTGCAATCCGTGCCTTTGCAATTCGCTTTGAACGCCGGGGCCTCAATTCATGATCAACTCTCTGTTTGAGCTCTAGGTTTTGTGTCTCCAGGTTCTCAATCGTTTTATCCAGGTTCTCAATCGTTTCATCCTGGATAAGCATCACGGCCTCGAGATGATCAACTCTAAGGCTCAAAGCCTTGACGGTTTCCAAGAGGTAACACTCCTGGTTCTTTGCCAACATCTGCAACCGGGTCCCCTGGGGCTGTCCATCAAGGAAAAGCAAACAACAGCAATTGGGTCAGTTGATTCTTTCCTTTCAGGAGACGGCGAGAAAGACAAAGAACAAAATGGTCGGGACGAAGCCGAGGACGAGCGGTGAGGATACATACTGTTGGTGCTGTTTTGAAGAGGTATGCCCTACCATTAGGAGGAGTGGCCATCAATGCTGCAGCTCTGCTATTCTCTTTGTTGCTCATCATGAGATCCGGTTAAAAATTGCTTTTTTGCTTTATTAGCGAAGTTTCTTGAATTTATGAACAGAATGCAATACTGATAAGGTARATAATACTGAATCGAGGAATTTGCTTTTTCTATTACCATCGGAGGTACACTTGCCGTGACTGGAAGTCAAAAATCAATCTCAAACTCAAACGTGCTTTCAAATTGTGACCGTTGTCTTGCCCTACGATTCGAGTACGTACGTACCGTACGGTACGATACAGTAACAACAGTTTTAGCAGTTCGCCGGCTCAGTAGCGCACCATACGTATGAAGATACAATACGTAATTAGAAGCAAAGCTAGTACGATAATCAGTAATACTAGTACTGCGACTACCAAATACAGGAATAGAAACCAGTACTACCGTGCTGTCTTTGCCGAAAGGCAACGAATGTCCATCTGCCACAGCTGCGCGAATTGCGCGTCAGTCACGGACTACACGCAAATCCACGTGTACGCAGCCATCCGCCAGCGGGTTCGAAATAATACAAGTTCGTATCGTACGGTCCAGTACTACGGTCTACTCTTCAATCTGTACCATTAGGTGACTAGAAGTAAAAATGATGACAGGAAAATGCTTTGAATMTAGCTTCTGTCTTCTTCCTCGCCTTTCACTTCTTCCAGACACAAACTCCAGCTTTTTCGCGATTGCATTCTATTCCGATCGTYGTCGAGGGAACACCTTGCACCGAGAAAAGAACGATCCAACACAAGACCTCCTCCTGTGGAAAATCTTGAAGCACGATAGGTCGTCCATCATCTACAATTCACCATATTGACAGACCTTTTGTTTTACCCACCGACCCATTCYACAGAATCGCTCTTGCCGAAGGAGTACAGGTACTGCAGCAAGAGCAAGCAGCATTTGTGCGACATAACCTAGAAATAGCAACTTCGCGCGGCGGCATCCGCCCAGGTCCAACGAACACTGCACTTGGAATGCGATAATACTTTTTTGCACAAGATTGCGGGCACAACGTATTCAACGGACCGCCGGATTAAAATCACACAAAGCAATAACATGACAATGACCAAAATATCCAAACCGGCCGTGGTCCTTCTGATCCTGGGACTGCTGCACGCCGGAAATCTAGTGGAGTCCTTTTCTTCGACGCCCGCACCCTCCAGGATTGCTGTTTGTTCGACGACCAAAGCTACCGGTTCCCACCACTTTTACCAATCGATCGTCCCACAACGAACCACCCGACCCCTGCACCACTCCTTCGCACCAAAGGCATCCTCCTCTGCTCTGGGCGTGGCGACGGGACTGGCGGAACAGACCGACGAAGAGACGTCGGACGGCGATGGCGAAGGCGACGAGGGAGGACTCCCCGAGTTTGGGCCCGACGGCCTGTGGCACATTACGAACGAGGCGGAGTACAAGTAAGTCGATTGGATTGGATTGGATTGGATTGGATTCGGTGCGCAAAAAATGGAAGGCGGTGCAGTCGATTCGTCTCTGTGGGCATCATCAGTGAAACTATTGTTGCGGGTCCCCACAGACGGTCGCAACTGGGCTGCGGTTCCTATTATTCGTTTCWGTTTTGCCGCAGAATGCTGGTATTTTGTATTTCGTATTTCTCACGTCCAATTTTTCTGTTCTCGGTTGCAACAGAGCCGTGTTGGAGAACAACAAGGACAAGCTGATAGTTCTGAAAGTATTCGCTCCTTGGTGCAAAGCTTGCAAGGGATTAGCGCCAAAATTTCAGAGGCTAGTCAATGACGAAAAATACMAAGACTTGCCGATTGTATGGGCCGATCTCAACATCCAGGGCAACAAAGATTTCGTGAAGTCCATCGGTGTCTTGGCTCTTCCGACCGTTCAGCTGTACGCCGGAGACGGTCTCAAAACCGATACATTTCCCTGCGGTCCATCAAAGGTCCCCATATTGAAACGCAAGCTGGTTAAACTCGTCAATGACCACGTCGATGCGAAGACTCGTACCTTGAAGTCTGCCAGCCCATCTACTGTCGAAACTGCCAATGTGACCGCTGTCTCGAACGAGGCCGCCAATGGAACTGTCTCCGTTCCGCCCGTTTCGACCAAAGACGAGGTACCCAAAAACAGCACCACCACTGCTGGTGCGGMTGCGGCAACKGCTCCAGAGCCGGCTGATACTGAAGAAACTATCGAAGAGGTTATTGAGCGCGAAAAGTCTACTCTGCGAAACGTCAAATACCTCTCTGATATGCTGGAATCCGAATACGAGGAACTACTGACGAAGGCAACCTTGCTCACATTCGAGGCCGGTTCGATTGTCATGCGCGAGGGCAATGTGGGACGAACCTTTTATATTATTTTGGAGGGAGAAGTGGAGATTTGCCAGAGAACCTCCTTTGAGGATCCACTGACCACGCCTCCGTCTTATCTGGGAACCGTAATCAACCAGTTTACCAACAAGGGAGACTTCTTCGGAGAACGCGCCCTTATCACGGGTGAACCCAGAGCCGCTAGTATCAGAGCCAGCTCCCGAACGAAGTGTCTCGCGTTTGACAAGGGATCCTTCCCCAAGTCTAGCTTATTGAGCGGACTTACGACCAAGCTTTCTTCTGCTGACAAGCAACAAGAAATCGAGGATATCAACGACAAGTACGGCGTAGCCTTTAGTGATATCGGAGATATCAAGGACGAAAAGCAATACAGGGAATCACTTGTCGCCTCGCAGGTCCGTGGAAGCGCCAATACTCCTGGACCCATCGCCGGTGTTGATACCGACGAGGAACAAGAAGCAGATCAAAGCAATGTTGTGGGCGATCCCAGCGCGCTGGGAGTCGGTACCGAAACAATGGTAAACCTGCTGATCCGTCTCAAATTGATTCGGTCTATTACCCGCTGTTTCGATTACACCGTCAAGTATAAACTCAAGTTTGGCGATCCCGGATCGAGAAGACGGCGAAACATTCTGGTCAGCAAGCTTGCACCCATGCAGAGGACATATATTGAGGACGCCTTCCAACTCATCGACGACGACGCCTCAGACGAAATCAACCTCATGGAATTGCGAAGGGTCATGGATTCTGTAGGGGAAAGCAAGTCTGATGCGGAGCTCCTCGACGTCATCGAAGGACCCAAGAAAAACTACGCACCCTGGCAAGAAAACAAAAACGATAACCAGTACAAGACAATTACCAAGGAGGACTTTTTTGGTCTGATGGCAGAATCCGAGACCTACCAATTGTTCATTGATACGTTCAAGACGCTGGATCCGCAAGACTCTGGTTTCGTTCGAGCAAGGGATCTCGATGCGATTCTGTGCGGTGTTCGCGATTTGATCAGCGACGATCGCAAGTCGATCATCGACGTGGAGGACGACGAGATGATGGTGGATTACGAGCAGTTTTCGAGAATGCTTCTGGGAACGGCCCTGAAGTCATAACGAGCGAAACAGGAAAGCCACTGCATCGCACCGCACCGCACGGCAAGGGAATAAAAATCGACTCGATGCACAGCAGTTCGGTCCCAACCATMGAGTCACAAGCACGCAAGCACGAAACCACAACTGGATATTAACAAAACAGAACCACGGTACATGTTAAAATTGATACATATATAGTCTGTTTTGTAAGCCATCGAATTGTCTGCTGCTCGGCACACCGAACGAATGGTGCTATTCAGTATTGCATAACCTTTCGTTTGCACCTTCGATGGGTCTTAGTTCACCAACAAACTGTGTGGCATTTTACGAAACTGCAAAATCCATGGGATAGCGAATGGCGGTATAGCATCTATCTCCACCACTTGCTTTCCTTGTWGAACACGCAACTGGAATTGTCGACTGTGGAACAGAGCTCTTGTAGTRGGAGCGCCGTTGTTTTTTTGGATGCCTACAACGTTTGGTCCATTCCAAACCGGACTTCGCAACCAGTAATGYAGTCGAGCATTCCAATCGGGTATTCGTTCTGTCGCTTAATTCCACAGTTTCGCAAGAACAAAGCATGTTCGATCCAAAAAACAGCACCCGTTGTCGTCTGTCGAAGCAGGTGAAAACATGCTTTTACGGGAGCTGTTCGACGCGAGTTCGTGACCGCAATAGTTCAGTCACGTTATTTCTCCATTTGGTTTGGTGGTTTGGTGACCGAAGAATACGTAGGAACGTACAAGTAGTTATTATGGTACGTACATCCTTCAGGAGCCCAAAACGAGCGGACCGAAAAACGAAAAACAGGGACGAGAGTAAATCCGAAAATGAGTGCCGTCTTGAAAATCGGTCGGTGTAGATTCCGAAGGTAGTTTTCTCTCTTGATTGTCCCTACCCACGTACCAAACCTCGAATACTTGTTCGTCCAGTCCATTTGTTTCAACCCAACCCAGTTCAGTCAGCCGAATCGAAGCAAATCGATTTCACACYATTTATCTCGACTGGCAAAGACAAACATGACCACGAGCCACAACAGCCGCATCTCGATCCCGGTCCCCGTCGTGGAAGACAACGGAGATCACCATCCCCACGACGAGCCTCCTTCGATGGGCGATTTCTCGGCAAACGCTTTTTTGTTGGGGGAAGAACGTAGCCACGCAAGCAGCCGAGGCACGTACTATGCGAAAGATCCCCTACAAAACATCGGCAGCCTCGCTTCGAAACGAAGTGCGAGAAATGCCCCATCCATCGAACCAGAACGAAAGCAATCCAATCTGCAGTCGTTGTCKTCGATACCTATTCCTACGCTGRCGGATGGAGCCGGATATCCTTTCGATCGTGACGTAGTCCAGGAACAAGGTGTTGCTCGTACGAATGRCTTCCTCTMTGGTTTGAGGGGTCCGGGTTTGTTTTCCGACAGTKTCAGTCTCAACGGCATTGATTCATTGCGAAACTKCCAAGGAGWCTTGCCACCAATCCCTTCGAAGCATCTTCCTCGTCTGCAGCAACCACCTATTTCGAGGCCAACGGCAGCAACCTCTCCTATGTTACAACGACCGATTGATACTACGGTTGTGAACAGTAACTTTGCTGATGCCGAARGATCTGCAGGTCKCGGTCTTGGCCAACCAAACCAGTCGACTCAAAATACTCGTGACGGAGTCCTCCATTGGCMAGCTCCTATCTTCAACGRGCTTCCAGGGGTAATCGAAACATTGGAAGGAACAACTATATCTAGTTTTACCGATCCTGATCACAACCGAAGAAYTCCCGCGKTCGCTAGCAACTTGAGCGTAGGTGATGCTGCCTCAGTTGCTTCCAGGAGAACGTTTCAGGAATCTAGCTTCAGACCAGGAAATCCCCGATCTATCCTCAACGAGCGATACCAAAAGAGATACAAACGATCGTTCACRAAGAAAGACTTTTGCTCGATCAAAGACACWAGGGACGGAGACCACATCCCTACTTTTACATCTGTATTTGTCTGYCCAGAAACAGGCGAACTATTTCTTAGCGGCGATCTCYTATCGGCGGATCTTGTTCTTCAGCGGGATGGCATGAACTGGTACAAAACGAAAAACGATGCCGAATTTGCTGCTGCCGGGAGGGCCGAGGACTRTTTCCGGTTCCGTTCCGGAGAAATAATCAGTACTAGCAATGCCGGAAACTTCTTTTGTAGCGAACCCCCCGTTGCTACTCGTGGGGACGACGGCGAGGATGACACAAAAGAGCTCTCGGAGTTCCTCCAATCGGAGGCCGTCCAAAAGCTAGTTCGAAAGCACCTAGTTGATCAAAGATGAGTCTGCAAACAACGTTCTTTCTGGACTCGCAAAAATCGCCGATCACTTGCACGTCGTGCTTCATCGCCATAGTAGGCAACTCCTACAACGATACTAATACCTGTGAGGTAATCCCCATACCGCATTCACGAGTAGCTAGTGAATAACCCTCACTCTTTATTGTAAACCACGTATTATCGTACACTAAGGAGCCTATCAACATTTCGAAAAAAGAACATAAAATTCACAGATACAAAATTGCCATTTATTTTAGATAACAGGATTTCTTCGTCAAAGTTGTGGCCGTTACCTATTTGAGAATATCKGTTTTTAATCACGGACATCCGCAAGGACTTTCTTTTCAAGCAGATACATCTTATTGTTTGCACAATGTCAGTTCATCAAAAATGTGTACGTCGATCCATCAATCGGCTCTAATCAGTGCTTTCGGGTTTCTTCGTGGTAGAATCCTTGTCTTCGGTACCCTTGTCGCTGCTATCATCGGTCTTTTTGTCTTTGCTGTCCTTTTTTCCCTCTTCTTCTTCGGGCCTGGTTTTGTCGAAGACAATTCCATTTTCCGTATTTCTTAGACCCAATTTCCTTGCTTGCTTCGCCCAATAGGCTCGCCCTGCACCCGTCGAGACGCCTCGGGTGGCAATCAAATTCGCAAACTCTCGACGGAGGGCATCCCCCATCAGCGGGCACTCGCCTGTTTGTAGGTGAGTAGAATTCATATTCTGGGCTGCCTGGTAGAAGCCTTCAACGGCTCGTGGGAAGTAAACACTTCCCCGCTTTCGACGACAGACTGGTAACACCTTACAGTGACGACACCGAATTCCGATCTGACCCAGCTGCACCGGTTTGTTTCGCCCTCGTGTGTGTGTCGACGTGTCTTCCTCGCCGGCTCGGAATACTTCGATCTGGTATCTCAGCAGTGTTTGGTGCGAGGAGAGCTGCATGTGATCCATGGGAACGACTAACAGGGTAGGCARATCCCTAGCACGCCCATCCGGATCACGATCGACAAATGCATCGGGGGGCTTGCCAACCGACGAATCGCGCACCGTGTTGGATACTTCGGCAGCAGTCGCAAGCCTTCGCTGCTCATAAATGAGGTCCGAGGCACTGGGGTGGAGCGCGACGCCGTTGGCACCCATATGTGCAGCTGCTCCTATTTTCGCAGCCGCAATTGATCGGGGAATCATCCCCAAACCATTCGCGCTGTTTCCACCTAGGCCTCCGAACATCCCGATATTTGCTGCCATGGAGTTCGGATTGAAGGGTCCCGGCGTCAACAAATTGGCCAGTGGAGCTGAGGCGGTAGATGCCAGAGACGTGGGCAGCAACGCAGAGGCTGCGCTGTTTTGGCCTACTCCAACGCTGTTGATAGGGAAATTTGCACCGTTTGGATTTTGTGCATTTCTGTTTTTCGGTAGAAGCATTTGCATAATTGCAACCGAATCCATACTTGATACGGCCGGGATCAAAGATGGGGGTAGAGGCATCTCGTCTTGTTGAATTTGGCGATTTGCAATCATCTGCTGAATTTGTGCCGTGGAAAGACTTGCGAGCCCGCTGCTATTATTTTTATTTGCGCTATTTTTCCTCATAAAGTTGGCAACAGCCGATTCTTCCTTCGAAAGCTGTCGATGCTGCTTATCGATATTATCAGCCTTTTGACCAGCGTTCGCATTTTGAAGGTGCATTTGTTGCTGCTGATTTCTGAGTGCTTTAATTTGAGCCTCAAGTGCTGCAGTGTTATTTCCTCCTCCAATAGAAGAGAGTGCATTCTTCTGTTGTTGGCGAAGCACCAGCTCTAGAAGTGCATTATCATGGAGAACATCCTGTGTCGACGACGAGAGACGTTGAAGCGCTTCCAGTTTCTCCCTTTGGATCGATTGATGAATCTCCTGAAGCTGTTGTTTTCGCACAATCTGTTCGAGGTGCATTAGGTTAGAAAGATTGCTACCAGCACCACCCAAACTGGCCAGTGAGGAGTTGAGGTCGGTAATGCCACTGCTTGCCAACGCAAGACGACTCGCAGCAGACGTGCTCCCGGGTGCACTCGTACCACGTAACAAAAGTGAATTCTGTGCCAATTCAGCAGCTGCGGAGAGTGTAGAGTTATCCGTGCCCAAGGTGGAACCTAAGTAAGACGATAGGGCTGATTTCTTTTGGCTGCTTTCTAGGGCAGCAGCAGCAACTGCTGCTGTGGCGTTGCTGGTGGATTCTGCCAGCATGGTTCGAGCCCGTTTCTTGGGTTGAAACTGTAAAAGATCGGCTTTTGCTTGTTGGGCTATCTGCTCTGGACCCATAAATGCATTTTTCAATTCACCTTGCAATCGWCGCTTTCGGTGCTCATCCATCAATGCTTGGAGGGCTTCGCTGCCTCCTCCGTCCGCAGTACCTGTTAATTCAGAAGGCGATAGCAAGGGCATAGAACTGAGAGTTGCAGAACGCCCCCATAGCCCGTTCGGATTGGCCTGCGAGGAGGGCAAGAGGGAAGATCGAAAGCTGTTGTTTCCTAGGCTTGCGTTCCGCGAAAGAGAGGTGATGGGTGCATGGTCCGAATGGATGCTGCCGAGGCTGCTGGAGCTTGTCAASAGTCCCAGTGCCGTCCTCGCTGCTGCAGCGTCTGCGGCAGCTGCGGAGGAGGAAGCACTAGTAGCAGCAGCAGAAAGAGCCCCCAAGCCACCGGCCGTAGAACGATCGGAACTCTGGGTCGTATTTGCAGCCATTCCGACATAGTCAGAAAGGCTTCCAGATCCTGTGTGTCTCTGCATCGTCATCGTCCTCAGAGATAATAGACTGTGGCACAAGTAGAGCAGGGGTAGTTCGTATTATCAATGATTGTAACACCACCTTCCTAAATAAATTGAAATACTTTTATGGGTCGTCGATCTTAMGATATTGTCTATTGGATCATACGGTACCAACGGCCTTTGCCAGGTAATTCAATGMTATTACTGAGATGAGGATCGAAACAAAAAAAAACGACGATACAGCACCGTTTCAGGTATTGTTTGACCGTTGTTGTCTTTTCACGAAGGGAGGTTGTGACGTTTCTACGCCGCATTTTTCCTATGCATTAGTGAGCATGGAAGCAGGCGGTGCCACTTTGACTACTTAATTCTATTGATTCTTGGGGAGTCAATTATCATGCAGGTTCTATCATGACATAAATTTACTTAACGCGAAGGAATTCAATCTTATTGAACTTCACCTTTCATAAACACAACCGCTGACAACAAATGAGGATTATATAGCTTCAATAGAATAATGTAGAACCCCGTAGAAAATAATGGATGACCTAAATTGAACCAACGATAGGTTTCTAAGGACTTCTCAATACAGTATGTTTAATTGTAGTTCTTCTTACTATAAGGACTTCCCAATACAGTATGTTTAATTATAGTTCTCCTTACTTAAAAATAAATAATTACTAAGCTTTTCTTGCATACAGAAATTAGAGAGAAGTGAATTATATTCTTCTTTCAATTATTATATTGGTTTTCTACATGTTAAATTTTCTTGGAAGAATGACTATCCTTTTAGATGAGTATTCATAATACCGTTATAAATCGGGCATAGTCGAGTGGTGGGTCGAAAATTGTTCAATTGCAAACAGAACCATCTTGCACTCCTTCTACGAGTAGGGTACTCGTACCATTACTTGGTCCCGGTACATTATTTTCGGACGCAGTAGTTTTCTCTCTTGRATGGTTCCTCGTACGCCCTGAACAGGAATCTTCCACCCCGGTTTTCCAAGGAGTAAATCACGCCGTACGGTACTGTTCCAGGATTACTGTATCCTGGAAGTGTAACATATCGTAGATATTTTTGTAACTACATTAAACACAGTATCAAGCGCTAATCAGTCATACTTTTTTAAGTAGATAAACGTTCTCTACTTGATGTTGAAAAAATATTTATGTCGAAGAGAATTTCAGTGCCTTATGTATTATTTTCTTTCCCTCAACACTGCATATATAATGGAACATATGCGACAGAACGAGAACAAAGTCCGAAGTAAAAAATTGTACCATTTATAATCCTGAGTCTACAGTACCGTACCGTGGCAATGCAATATACATTGCGTAGTAGATCTGTACCGTACAATGAAATTCGCTGCGTCAGCTTCGGTGCAAGTTTCTTACAGTAATGCAGTTTTATCTGAGATCAAAAGTTTTGAAACGATACGAAAATGTACGGTACGGGTGTGGTGGGTACGGCTAGAAATCCTTGGAACCTTTTACAGGTAAAGGGTTAGCTGTATGGTACGGTACGTACGTACTCGTAATTGTAATACCTTTCATCTTGAATCTCCCAGCGAACCCTCTGAATGCACCTCAACGAAAGAACAAAAGCCTGACTCCTCGACAACGTCTGGACACGCACGTACGAGTACGGATGTTTTAGGGGACCTACCTCAGGAGGTACAAGGTACCGAGAGGATAATAGCCACAGAATTAAAAAACGACGGTACACGTGTTGGAGGACAAACGTCCGCGTGGATATCCACCAATACCGAAATGCATGAAATACTTAAAAAGAGGTGAAAATCTCACACGAGAAATATGAAGAATCATCAGAATCCMAAGGGTTTTCTGTATCAATCTCATACTTTTTAATTTATCTAATCAATAGGAAATTTACACATTCTCTTCAAGGTTTCGTGCATCCGATGACGTAGGCATACGACATTTGATACATCGAATCAACAACACGGGCCTACCCGTACAGCAAGTTGTATTGTACCGGTACCTTAGCAGAAATAGTACATTCCGTATTCCGGTASACTGTGTAGTCGTTTCTATGYAAGTACGTACTCATACGTCTTGTRCGTACGAGAACTGTCTCGTCTGTATTGTATCTTGTATCTTGTACATCGTGCATTGTGCGGAGGTAGATGGCAMTTCGTACGTGCCGGTACTGTRCTACCGAACCATGCCTGGCAAAGAAAATGCCTCGTAACTGTGCTTCAACAAGCCCGAGAGGCTGTGGCAGTTGGGAAGTGGTTGCGATCGGCCCCAGTCCTTTTTTTTTCTTTGATGCGCACCCCGTTGTGGCAAACGCGGTTCTGGCCACATACAATCCACCTTGTGCGCCGCACTTGGGTGTTTCGTTTCCACGGCGGCGACCAGGTCGTACAACACAAAACCCGCCCGTTCACAGCGTTCATTGTAGGTTTCTCGGACGCAGGTGTTGTCCGTTGTCGATCGCTCACCGCCGGATATCGCTGTAGCACAGCGACGACCATTTCGCGAGAGAACGGTTTCAGAGCCTTGCTGGTTTCCCATGGCAGTTGCGCTCCGCACCCTTGTTTCGTTGGTTCGTCCACTCTCGTCGTCCACTCTCGTCGTCCGCTCTGCTCCAAAACGAGCTACGGGGCCGCTGSAGCCGCCGCACCCTTGCACCTCCGCTCCTGCAGGGCCCGTGCCTTGCGGACCGATTGGAGCTGCTCTTCCAGGATTTGCTGGACGGCGTCCAGCTGGGCCGGCGAGAGGTTCAGCGCCATTCCGTGGTCGCTATAGAGCAGGCAGCCGACGTCCAGRCAGAGGGCCGACAGGACCGCGTCGGCGTCGGAACCGCTCGAGGGCGTTCTTCCACCCCCGGCGGCGGTTGTGGCCACGAGAGCCCCCGACGAGCGGGTGTCCTCGCGCTCGGTRGCCGGAGGTGCGGCGGAAAGGTCCGGGGTCCGGTTGTGGTTGGCATTGTTCGTGTGGTGGTTGGAGCTCCCCTGCTTGTATCGATCGCGCAGCATCTGGTTTGTTTCGTCGAGGGACATGGTGCGCCTCCGGTATACCACCGGRTGGGGAGGGTTGTTGTCGGTCACCRRMCTCGTTGTCGTTTTCGTTGTCCTTGCTGTCATTCTTGTCAACTGGTCGTCTCCCTCGCCACCGGCTTCGCCGCCGCGACCGGATTCTCGTAGGGCGACTGTTCCATTCTCCGGTGTTGCCCATGGCCCGTCCTTCTTGTGGCGATTGGCATCGTCGGCGACGGAAGGTTCCGCCGTTGGGTTGCCGTTGCTGTCGCCGTCGCCGTCGCTGTTCTCGGGACCGGATTCCCGCGGGCTGCTGCGTTCGCGGCTGGCACAAGCTTCGGAAGGCCCGCCTCCCGGCCGGTCGTCCTCTTGGTTCCCGCTTTCGCCGCTGCTCGCGTCCGCTTCGCTGTGGCCGGACACCCGCACCGCAACGGTTCCGTTGGCCAGCGTGGTCAGCAAGACGTCCTTCGTGGCGTCCGTCGTGTCGGCCCCGGCCCCCGGTGTCGGTGCCGCGGCGTCTTTGTTCTCTGCCGCCGGCGGCGGCTTGTGGTCCCCCCTCTTTTTGTGCCTGGCTTTTTTCGGTTTCTTCTTTTTGGGATTCCCTCCGGTGGGGCCCGCACCGCCTGTTCCCGGCAGCGGATCACGGYCGAGGCACGAGAGGAGCTCCCCCGCGATCCGCTCCGACCGCGCGGACACGTGGGCCTCCATGATCCCTGCGCACCGCTCGATGGCCCTCCGCTCTTCCGCGTAGCGCTCCGCCTTTGGGTGTTCCCCGGAAGCGTGGTTGGTTTTGATTTGCCTCTTGGAGTGCTCCCGGAGGATGGACCTCCACCGGCGCTCCATCTCGGAGAGGCAGTCCCTGCACCTCGAAACATCCTCGAGGCCCACGATCGGGGGGAGGTCTTCCGCCTGCGGGCCATCGTCGATCCGGACCAGGAACGCCACGACCTCGTGGACCCCCCCCGACCAGGCCAGCGTCAAGACCGATTCCCCCGAGTGGTTCGTGGCCCGCAGGACGTCCCGGACCGCGGCAAGGGCGCTGCTCTCGCCGCCGGTGCCGGCTGTGTTGTCCGAGTTGCGGCCCTTTTTCGATCGGTGGTTGTTGTTGTGGTTGTGGTTGTTGTTGTGGTTGCTGTTGTAGTTGTCGTCGACGTCGCCGCTGCGAKAACGATCGAGCGCCAGCCGGTACCACTCTTCGAGAAACCGCAGCGCCGACGAGGAAACACCACAATACACGTTGCTGGCCACCGCCATCATGAGGGGGGTGTCGTTGTGGGCGTTCGCGGCGGCTCCCATGGCCAGGACAAGGTTTGTCTTTGTGCTCGGGGGACCACAACCGCTACCCTTGTCGCCCCTCAGCTCCCCCTGCGCTTCTGCGAGCCGCTCCAGGAGCTCCAGAAAGGACGGCAGCGGGAGCTTCGGAAGCAACGGAGGGGGGCCTTCCCCCCGGGCCGAGGCGTCAGGGGTGGTGGCGTGGTGGAACGCCGTGTTTCGGTCCACCCTCGTCCTGGAGGCAAGGGGGTTTCCGATGAGTTCCTCCAGGACCCTCCCGCGGTTCCGGGCGGYKGAGGCGARGGAAGAAGGACCGTTCTGGCGGCCCGGAGCAAGCCGCGCGGCCTCCTCCTCGGTGCGCTCGCAGAAATACAGGAGGCACTCCAGGTTTCCCTTGTCGCAGGCCACCATCAGGGGGAAGAGCCCTTCGCTGTTGTTGTGGTTGTTGTGGTTGCTTGTGTCACCGGGAAAGGGCCATTTTCCCGGTCGGTCGGCCAGGAGTTCCTCCGCCGGCGGCAGCGTCGAAAAGAAGAGGTCCAGGGCCTCGGGAACGATCGTCGAGGGAGACGGAGACGAGAGCTTCGCGACCAGCTGGCAGAGCTCGGTTCGCAGGAATTCCAGCTTCCCGCTGCCTCTCGCCCCGGAACGGCTGCCGGCCGTCGGGTTGGAAGCCGGGGCAGCGGCCGCCGTCATCGTGTCGAGCTCTGCGGGGGAAGGGGGTCGCTATCGATCGGCCATCTATCGGGTGGAAGGTCGTCGATTCCGCTTTCAAGACTGCGGTGTGGCAACAACACTACGGTACAGAGGAACGGAACGGAACGGAACGGCGCTAGTCGTTTTGAGCTGTGGGGGTGTCGCGTCGCAAACGGATACGAGTAGTAGCGTACTAGTACGTAGTACTATTACTATTGGATACGATTACTCGGACTAGTTTCTAGTGATCGTGATTCATTCTCGTCGTTGTTGGTTGTGGATCGAAGCTACGGTACGTACGTACAGTATGTATGGTATGAAACAAAATCTCCGTCTTCTGTTTGAGTCGTAGGAGTGGTCGTCGCGCGATTTTGTTTCGAACCAAAACGGATCGCGCGAATTGGATGAAACGAAAGAATTCGATTTTTTTCCCAACCGCCCGCAAGTGTGAAAAATCCCAAAACAACCGTTCGTGATGACATTCAATTCGGCGGAAAAGAAGGGAAGGATTCCTGTTTCGTGCAATACAGCACAGTACACAACTCTACTGTACCGTACAGTACAGCAAGTACAAGTACCGTAGAATGCAGAAAATCCAAAATCCTTGACACGAACCGTCCCCTTGCGAAACGCAACACGGATCCACCGGCTGAGCAGCTGCCCCGCGTTTCTTCCTTTCCCTCTCCGCTCGTCGCTTGCTCCGCTCCGCTCCACGCACGGCCACAAACAAAACCACCGGATCTTTGGTCCACCACGGAAAGCCACCACGGAAGCAACAAGCAGTGCAGGGCCCTTTCCGTTCCGTTCTTGCCGTGGGTCGCAGAACCGAACCGAACCGAACCGAACCGAACTTAACCGAACGAATCCATCGCACCGCTGGTGCGTTTTTGTTTCCGATGCCTACAGACGGAGATCCGTCGCCAAAGAAGATCCCAGCGGCCCACCCATCGAAGACCGCGCTGCTCCTCCTCGTMCTCCTCCTGGCCACCACGGGGAATCTCTCGGTGAGACACGGCCCCCCGCTCGTTTCCGCCTACCGGCCCGGCGGGAGCAACCTTCCGGGCGACGGTAGCAACGCCAACGCCAACGGCAACGCCAGGATCAACGCCAGGACCAGTGCCAACCCCCGCGCCATGAGGGGGGCCTGGAGGAGCCGGGGGTCCAGCCACCGCGACCTGGTCGACCAGCTCGTGAAGCGGGGGATCATCGAGACCGACTCGGTCCGGTGGGCCATGGCCGCCGTCGACCGGGGGAACTACGCTCGCGGCAGCGGCAGCGGCAGCGAACCCAGTGGCGCCCCCGACCCCTACGCCGACCGGCCCCTCCCGATCGGCCTCGGCCAGACGATCAGCGCCCCCCACATGCACGCGTACGCCCTGGAGGAGCTGGTCCCGGCCCTGGAAGCGGCAAGGCAGCAACAGCAGCAGCAACAGCAACAGGGCCGGAACCACCGGGGCCTCCGGGTCCTCGACGTGGGCACCGGATCGGGCTACCTGACGGCGTGCCTCGGGAGGTGGCTGTCGCAACCGCCGCAGGAATCGGCGGGTGGGAAGAGCAARAACAACAGCGAAAGCAACAGCGAAAGCAGCAACAGCAGCAGCGAAAACGAAAACGAAGCAAGCCTCCCCCCCGGCAGGGTCTTTGGGATCGACGTCCGGAGGAGCCTGGTGGAAGCGGCCGAGCGGAACCTCCGAAGGGCCGACGGGGACCTCCTGGACACAGGGGCGGTCACCCTCGCGGTGGGGGACGGCTGGGAGGGCCTCCCGGAAGAAGCCCCCTTCGACGCCATCCACGTGGGGGCCGCGGCCGAGTCGCTCCCCCTCGCGCTGGCGGCCCAGCTGGCGGTGGGGGGGGTCCTGGTGGTCCCCATCGGCCCCGAGGGGGAGGCCCAGGTCCTCTGCAAGATCCGCCGGGTCGGCGGGACGCCCTTTGGGCAAGCCGAGGTTGCGAACGGGAGGCTTCCGGAGGCCCTCTTTTGCGGGGACGACTTTGAGGCCACGAGGCTGCTGGGGGTGAGGTACGTCCCGCTGGTCAAGAAAAGGGCGGATTCCCCCCCCTAGCCGGCCACGGATCTTCTTGCACGCTCGAGCAAAGGCAACGCAACGCAACGACAGGGATCTTGTGTTTCGTTCGTGCCGGATCGACAAGRCCGAGCACGCAATAACCATCTAGGCAAGAATTGAAATTCAAACACCAATGCAAATATTTTAATTTATAGTAGTAGTTTAGGRTACAAATGAACAACCATCTCTGCACCACTCTGTCAAGCAATGGTATATTTTTCGGCATCGGACGTGGGGACATCCACCCGGACATCAGGACCAACATGCCTGGTGTTTTGTTCCGTACCAACAGCAAACGATTGGATGGAAGCAACACCAAACACTTCCGGTACGTGCGCAAAGATCCCGCCGGACCGCAGCCGTGCCAACCCGGGTCTMGGCCGAGGCCCCGGGGGAAGCGTCCCCTCCGTCGTCCGAAACAGCGCTGCGCGGGGGAGCAGCGGGYCGGCTCGGCGGCTGCGTTTCGGCTCGGCTCGACTCAGCTCGGGGTGGTGGTGCCCGTGCCCGTGGCCCCAGCGGCTTCCTCCAGCCTCCGCTTCTCGAAGCGTTCTTCCCGCCGGACCTTCTGCTCCGCGGCCGCCAGCTGGCGGGTCAGCCGCCCGGACACCCACCCGGTCTGGTCCCCGGCACGCTCGTTTTCGAACCGGTCCCCCGCCAGCTCCCTGGACTGCTCCGCCATGATGACGTCCATCAGGCAAACGTTGTCGTCGTCGTCGTCTCCGTCGTCGTTGTCGCCGCCGTAGCAGCCCTCGCCAAAGACGTCCGTCTGGGACCGGTACTGGCGCTCCAGTTCCTCCAGCACCAGGACGTACATGGGGCAAAAGGCGCGCTTTTTCCCGACCCGCCCGAGGATCTCCTGGTACGGCGCGTACTCGCTCAGCTTGTGGATGGGACTCAGCGTCTTGTCGAGCTGCATAAAGGCAACGTGCGTCGCCCAGGCGTCGGCCTGGTCGAAGATGTGGGTCGCGTACACCACCGAGGCCCCCCGCTCCAAGCACTCYTTGGTCAGGTACTTGAAAAASCGGTTGCGGCTGAAGATGTCCAGGTCGGCGGCGAACTCGTCGATGACGCACAGCCGGAAGGGCCGCAGCAGCTTGATCATGAGCCGGACCTTTTTCCGCTGGCCGTCGGAGCACTCGTGCATGCGCCAGTTCAGGTTGATCCCCAGGACGCGGACCAGCTCGTCCCGGCGCTCGAGGTGGGTTTCCTGCCACTTGGCCATCATCTCGGAGGCGGCGCAGTCCATCGTGTAGGGACAGACGCCCTCAAAGCCCGTCCGGCGGCGCTTCCAGGTCCCCCCCAGGTAGGCAACGCCGTTGGACTGGTCGTTGGCGGTCTTCCGGCCGTTGATGTCGAATTCGTCGCTCTCCAGACCCATGAAAATCTGGCCGGTYAGGATCCGCAGGAGGGTGGATTTCCCGGCCCCGTTGGCGCCGACCAGAATGATCCGGGAGTTGGGCTCGATGCGGCAGTCGAGCCCCACGATGTTCTTCTTGCCGCTTTCCGGATCGTAGGCAAAGTTGAGGTTCTTGATGCTGACCACAGGTTTCACCACGGCATCGGCGGCATCGKCGGATTTCTTTTCCTCTTCGGCTTTCATCTTTTTTCTCGGGACGGCCGGTGGGAGTTGGTTCATCGGCTACCAAATGTTTTCGACGGGTTTCGGTTTTGGAATAATGCGTCGTGTCGATCCGAAGCGAGAAAAGGGGTGTCGTCAAAAAAGAGACGTACCGCAGGGCGAGTCAGCATTGTCAGGGATGACGGGGATTGTCCTCTGATCGTGACAGTAGTAAGTATTTCGGGATTGCACACCCATCATCGAGGGAGAGATGAAGATGAGTCACAAACGAACAAACTACTTGTACAACGTACTGCACGTTCCCTTSGTGGCACGGKGGTTTTCATCGCAGGGGGGAWGGTTTCAATCGCGTCATCACGACTGGAATGCGAACGGCAAAATAAGGTACGTACCGTAGGTACTGTAGTGTACCAAACTCTGTATCGATCGTGTGTGCACGTCTGAACCAAACTCTGTTGTTCGCGTACGATACGATACCGTCCGATACAGAACTGAGAAGTAATTTGCGGTCGTAACTTTTTGCAATCGGCATGACCTGTGACAACACTGTACTACGGTACCCAGTACCCATGCAACAATAGCAATCACAGGCTAGAATTTACTACCATTGGATAAAAAGATGATCCGCCTTTCGGCTCGTTCGATCAGATCTATATGTGATGACAAAGCTAGAAATGATAGTATTTCCTTTCGTTTGATTGCAGATGTGATGCAATACAGATGGGCACTGCCATTGCTGCTAGTCACGATTTCTTCTTGCAGCTTATGGCTACAGCGAGTTCCAAGAAAAGAAGAACTTTTTTTGCGGTCGTGCAAGCCGCGCAGCTCCGTTGTTGCCCCTAGGTTTTTGGGCGTTTACAGCTCGTCGGCCCCGTTCCGGGAGGACGACGACGACAGCAGCTCGTGCTTTCGGAGCTCATCAACGGTCCACTGCGTCACCGTCCGCCTCAGCTCCACCATGTGGTCTCTGTGGTTTTCAGCCGTCACGGCGACGGGGTCGTCCGCGTGCTTGAGAGCCAGCTCGAGAACCTGGACGTAGGCCCGGTGGTAATCCAGGAGTGTTTCCCCCTCGTGCTCCAGGTTGTAGAGGTCGGTGATCGGGTGCCCCTTCTCGTAAATGGTGCCCAGACCCTCCACTCGCCTGGTGACCTCGGCCTCGATGRRTTTCAGCCGATCCAGCTGCTCCTTGATCCATTGGAGCGACGCCGTGTTGGGCGTCCGGAAGATCCAACGCAACACAATCTTGGAGTCGTCGTTCTCGTCCGTGGTAACCTCGACGGTGAGGTCCTGGACTTTTCCATCGTCCACCACGGTAGAGTAATCGTCGTCGTCGGCCTCGGGTGCGACAACATCGTCGTCGGCACCCCCTAGATACCAGCGCTGGGGATACAGTTCCACAAATCCGTAGTCCGCCAGGATTGGCTGGGAGCCGTAGTTGTACATGACTGCGCTGTACGCACAAGTCGAATCGAAACACTCGGAATAGGTGTACTGCAGCTGCTCCCCGGCGGCAACGTCTCGGGTGGTGTAGGCGGCAATATCGCCGCCTCCGTCGTGCACGGAGGTCACCTCAACGTTGCGCTGCGGCCCGTTTCGGTGGTTGAACATGTCCACCAGCGGGAGTAGCTTGTCGTCCCATCCCCGCGACTTGAGAAACAAAAAGGCGTCCTGGACCTTGATGGTCTCGATAAGCTCGTCTAATTCCTTTTCGGTGTAGAGATCATCATCTTCGTCGTCGTCGTCGTTGTCGTCGCTGCCATCGTCCTGGAGAATCGAAAACTGAAATAACTTGTTTTCGGGGCAGTACGTCGATACGAACGGATGCTCAAAAATTTCTGGCTCCAGTGTGTAGTAATCCCCTTGGGGCTCGAGGATGAGTTCTAGGATTTCCTTAGATTCCGGTGACCAAGTGGTAGGGAGCAACCCGCGCGAGGTTCCACCCACCGTGTCGTCGAACAAATAGGACARGTATGGCTCGTAAAACGACGACGGAGTCGAAGGGTCTTTTTTGCTGTTCTTCACTTTTTCGTATTCCTCTAGCATTTTCTGCACCGTCACACAGTCTCGGGGGCCGGGGTTGCGTCCAATCTCCACGGGCTGGTGGCTCTCTATGACATACTTCCGGGGAAGGACGATCAGCGGGGTCCCCTTTGGGATATCTTCCGTGGCGTGGTAGGCGTAGGGGCCCGATTCCCCGTCGGGGCCCAAGCGCCGGAAGCGTATGGACGGGTGGAAGAAAGAAGTTGGATCTTCCAGGAGCCAGTCCACTAGGCGCTGCTGATATTCTTCCGGCTGCTTCTGGGCCGCCATGGAGAGAGGAGCGAGGCATGCACTCCACAGAAACAGGACCGTGACGATGGTTTGTCTCGTGGACCCTGACATCATTATCTCGTTTCTCTGCGATCAGGCAGTTATTGTTTGTTYTTKTTGTTTTCTGGTCCGTGCAATAGMAACTTAAACTCTCTTGGATTGCTTGAAAAATACCTTCGTCTCACTCGGAGGTAGTTTTTACGATTGTATTTCTTACAGAGTTTGTGACAGAAGGGTGTTCATTAACTGTTAGCGTTCGGGATTGACATCGCAATATCGTTATTTAAACTAGCACAATGGAAGAAAGGTTTGGCTTCGTCCGGCGTTGAAGACAAGCAAAAGATTGCCTCCATGAGAAATGGAATACTACGAATCTACGGTACGGTAGATTCCTGCTTTCTCCTCTAACGGATGGTTTCGAGTCTCGTTACCTGTTGCGCGACCATAACAGGAGGCAGGCTTCGGTTAAACGGCCGACGAACGATGAACGCATTTACAGAGGTGCACGGGAAAGGGGGCCCTCCGCAACCTAATAAAAAAACAACTGTATCCCTCTTTCAMATCAAAATTGGGGGGAAAATTTCGTTGGGTGTGAACCTGGTTTAAGGTACAAATGAAAAGAAACAAATTTGAAGATTTTGGGTGCTAAATGGTCAAAATACTATTAACGGGAATCAAACTTGCAACGGACAGACAGTGAGGAAGGCGGGCTCGATCTCAGTCTTTTTCGGAATTTGGAACCTTGACTTCAATATAATCTATGACTATTATGGTTCTCCTCGGAACTCGCTTGAACAGTTTAAGATTGAAAGAACTTCTTAGATCAAGATGTCGGAGTTGAATTTTAAGGATTTAGACATTCTCAAGATC